GCTGCATCACAGACAGACTCAGGAAGCGGCCATTCATGGACTTCAACAGCAAGGTTATCCCTCTCACTTTGCTTCTTGCACCGACGGCAATCACCGTCATGTTGAACCCAACCTCGCCAGTGTGTGTAGTAGTCGCACGATATGGCGTTGATTTCATCTGTGAGACACCGGAATCTGTCGCTTTTGTTATGAAGGTCTGCGGTTCGTTTTTTACGCTCTGTATCTGCATCATTTGTAATGCGCTGCTTGAATGACTGCAGCTCCTTGGATTGGTGATAGTAGCGAACTGCGAACGTGTGCATTTCTGCCCCATCCGAGAAGACCGAGAGCGCATTGGGGGTGCGACGCCTGGCAACATAGCATTGAAGAACTCTGAGTCGCTCTATGGCGGCAGCTTTGTGAAGGAGAAGGCGATTGAATATGGCAAGTGGGACCTCCGGAGAGTACTCCAGGAGGAGAGGGATTGACTTAACAACCAGTTTATCAAGTGCGACCCAGAGTTCGAACAGTGTGAGGAGCATGATGGATATATTTTCAGGATTTCCGGAATAGGACGGTTGTGCTCTGGTGGAATAACTTCTAGCTCGCGCTTGAATGGCCATGCAAGCGGCGTCGATGTCAACACCATCCAGGCTCATGACACGATTCACCCAGCCATCAATGTCCTGCTCAATGGCATATTCGAAATCCGAAAGTGCTACGAAGGGGTCGTCGGTATAAGCGCTCTCGAAGAAATTGGCGTCAGGACCAAGGAAGTCCTTGATAGTGCCTCGTGGGCGATGATGAGGTTGAAATTCTTGCACAGGAGGTTGGACGTGGGTAGGATGGAGGATAGAGATGATGTACTCCTTGCTTTCGGTCAAAGAGAGTCTGGTGTCTCTGATGTTATGTATCTCCGAGGCATCCCAATGAGGAGAAGCCGTCTGAACCTCCTGAACATTCTTCCAGCGCAGCTCCAGTCGGTCTTTGATATCTTCTGTAGCTTTGTGCATCCCGATTGCTAAGAATTCGTCTTCGGCCTGGAGCTTGACCAAGCGACGACTGACTTTAATGGACATGGAGTAAAGTAGATCATTCGAGATATCCCCCTCAAGCGCTTTGGACACAAGGTCGGTCATGAGAGAAGCCATGAAAGCCTTGTAACTGTTTCGTCCAAGGCTTGTGCGCTCGAGAGATGTCTGCAATACAACCCTGATGACAAGCCAGAGGGATGACCTTCGCCAAGGGAGCTTGGCGTTAGACTGTAACACATCATCGCCTATACGTTTTCGAATACGAGGGATGTTAGCCGGCTCGCCAAATGCGCAGAGGATATCAGTAAGAAGTCGGGTGATATAGTGAGGATTTGCAGTCTCTCCTTGGAGGACTGCGGGATCTAATCCATCAGAGCTCATGTGCGAAAGAAAGTTCACCAGCTCGGGGGGAAATGTAGGGTTATCCACCACTAAGTTTGATATGGTGATCGCAGGTCCCGGATACGAACACAAGAGCTTCCCTTTTGCCTCCATGACAGCAGATGCCGGTGGTGAAACTTCGAAGGATTCAAAGATGGTTTCCGTGTCGAGCCTGCGAAGCACTACAGCAGCATTTTGTTCCCGAATCAGATATGCGAGAACATCTACAAAGAAATTTTGTGATGTGTCAATGTTTGCCAGCGCCAATACTATATGCATACCTCCTGCTTCCATGGATTTTATTTGCAACTCAACAACTTCCCCAATCAGGGAAGAAGAAGTCATTGTGACAGCAAGACTCTCCAGCATCTTCAATAAAGGAGCCCACTGCTCCTGATCATGGTCGGGCAACGAACTCACAAATTTGCGAGCCGACCCTAGCACGACATCAAGGAGGGCGCGGTCATTGTCGAGAGTATAATCGCTGCGCTGCGGTAATTTGATGGGACAACATATGTGGGTGATAATATATTCCAAGACATCAGTCTGGGAGGATTCTGAGGCGACAGACATGTGAAGTAGCCTTGAGCTTGATTCACGATATATGGTGCAAGTTTAGTAAGAACTCTGAAGTTGGACGGTCTGTGGGTGGGGATTGAAAGCAAAAGGTTATAAGAGGCACAAGGGAACGCAAACGTAATGCCTCATGGCTTAGGATGCCCTCGTGCATGATCTGCGCCAAGCTTCTTTGGCCGATGACTGGATGAAACATCTAGGCATATACAGTAAGCCAGGACCAGAAATTTGGAAAAGTAAGATACCTTCTGATGGACGTCGATGAATAATAACAAATCCAAATCTTACACATATCATGGCGGGCATTATTATCAACCAAGAGTCACTCGTGTCAAAAGAACACGAAGTTCTCTCCAAGTGGGTAGAGAGAGAAGATTTTGGGTTTTCAAAAAAGCGCGTCTGGATTGCATTTGGACTCTTGGAGTAGATCAATTCGTCCTCACTCAGGCTGGGCGGTAAGTCACTTTCGGAGTCAGTAGGTGTCATGGGCAGAGGTCTTGACGGCAATTGCCGTTTCTTGGAACTTGCCCCGTGGCAACGTGCAGAAGAAACTACTAAGATCTGTTCAATGTTCATCGCTACATCAGTGAATTGGTGAGGAAAGTAGAAGGCGATATATCGCAATATATAGTACATAATCAGAACAATCAACATAATTCTGTTATCGAGCATCACATTATCATATTTGCTCTTGTATAGGAAAGGAGTTTTACATGATTTCACTATAAAACTTCAAGATCAGGAAGAGGTCGCATCATCGCTCAAACTGAAAGTCAAAGGGAAGGTGGAACAACAGCTACTGGTTGATCTACATGAATCAAAATTGATTTTAACACCACTTTGATACCAAATTCAAATGTAAACACGAATGCCATATCCTCTCAACTACGAGATATTCATTCGAGCGCGTGACCACCAAAAAATCCTTTATGGCTTCGACTTTGAAGGGAAGGTGGAACAACAGCTACCGGTTGTTCTACATGAATCAAGATTGGTTTTAACACCGCTTTGATACCAAATTTACATGTAAACACGAATGCCCATATCCTCTCAAACTACGAGATATTCACTCGAGCGCGTGACCACAAAAAACTCCTTCATGCTTCGACTTTGAACGCATCAAATATGACGTTTGCGATGTTTGTCAGCAATGTATCAATTTGGAATGCGTGTGAATAAGCTATACCTTTTCGTGGCAGCCCGACAAGCGGCCAATAATCAATTTGTATCATGCCTCAAGTCTCAAGGCGACCTTCTTTGTGTAGCTAATGGTTGACGATAGTATACTGCTTGCGACTGCGTCCCGGGAAGTTAGATTTGCTCAGAACAGTGAAACGTGTCTATCAAGTGCGTGAGAACCAACATAAGTCTTGCTTTGAGTTCGTATACAACGTTCTACTTTTATCTAATGACTAGCAGATGCAATGTACTTGCGAAAACCAACAATGTGTTTACTGAGTGAGCAAAAGCACAAGTATGTACTACTTTGAATTTTGACGCTATCTGCTCTAGATTTCCAAAATGGCTAACAATAGCACACCGCTTGCGACTGCGTCCCGAGAAGTTAGATTTCCTCAGAACAGCGGAACGTGTCTATCAAGTGCGTGAGAACTAACATAGGTCTTGCTTTGAGCTTGTACACGACATTCTACTTTTATCTGATGACTAACAGATGCCACTGTACTTGTGAAAACCAATGGTGTGTTTACTGAGTGAGCGAAAGCATAAATATGTGCTACTTTGAATTTTGACGCTATCTGCTCTAGATTTCCTAGGATGGTTCGTTGAATGTCAACTTTCAAGAATTTATCGGTGGGAGTTTGAATTGAATATTGTTACGACGGTAAGTCGCGTGCGAACTGGGATGATCTAACAGCGACGATCACGACAGTGATACCACGTGCTGAGAGTCCAAGGTCGGCTCCCACAGAAGAGCAGGAGTTGCGTACGTTCACGGAGGTGAACGATGATAGCGGTTTACAGGCAGAAGGGGTCTCAAGTCCTTCTGAAGGTACGGATCTGATGTCAAGCAGGTAGCTTTAGCAAGACAAAGGTTTCGAGGGAAAACCCAGTAGGATTAAAGTAAGGAACATCTACTTTAATCCTCGACCTTATATAAGGCTACTCTATCGTATCTAAGCTCAGCTTGAAGCTGGGTTCTAATCTGCTTATCTATCGAGTCAGAGATACCATGCATGAGGCAGGCTTCTATCAGTACATGAGGCAATACGAGGCTTGCCTTCTATTTTGATAACATAAATAGGTCTTCTAGACCTATGTCGTCATATCATGTAAGCGATCCAGATCGCTTACCTAATCCGGCATCTTCCGGACTTCTCTTCTTATTCATCATCTATCATCAAGGCCTAAAGGCCCGGTTATCGTATCGTTGCCGTGCGGGGTGGCAGAGGGCTGGTCGAGTAGCTGGGGGCTCACGTAGTGACTGTAACAAATATTTCTTTCAATTGCGCTCATCTCACAGTCTGTGCTTTTTATTCTAAGATTGACATGAAGAATAGAAATACAGATATCTTCATGATCGCGCTATATTTTTTGGATCCAGCCCATTAAAGTCAGGTAGCCGGATCTGCAGGGTAAGCTTGAACCTTATATATTTCACCATACATCATCACCCTGCGCGTCTTTTCGCGCTTGAGGAGGATATCTTTACACGTGTATTTTGGAGCAATGTTATATATTCTGCCATGCATCAGCGCTCTGCATTTCTTTTCGCCCTTTAGGAAGAAATCTTCACGCTTGTATTTGGGACCTCGGTGATTCAGCCCCCCCAATGCAATGCCGCTGTTACTATTTGGTAAAGGGGTATCTCTATTCTACCTTCTCATGTATTATTCATTAGGGTATTCAATTCCACATCAGAAACACAGGTAGGCGAATCTAGAAACAGAGCTTCAATGAGTTGGGCCCTAGAGATCATTCTAATTATTCAGTTGCGTACAATATTAGATTCATCATTAAACCATCGCATTAATTGGCAAACAATAGATATAATACAGAACACAGTAATATCTAGGGTGAATCAAATGCAGTGTCATCGCGTTGTGCTCTCTGCCTTGCGAGAGCATTGACAGACATATTGGCCTTCATCACGTCGCTAAGTTCGCCTCGGCGATTCCTCCCAAATACTTTTCTGAAAACGAAATTCTAGCAAGGCTTGGTTTGGAGGGAAAGTTACGCACCTAGTCCACCATTCGAGAAGTTTCTCCACCCTGCGCTGCGCTTCTCGACCAGGGGCCCTTTCGAAAAAGTCAACGATGGTCCGCCAAAATTGTTGGTAGTCGAAGTCGCCATCCATGGACCGCCAAGAGGTAATTGAAGAAAGTGCGAATCGCACCTGCGAGTATATAGTGAAGATACATCATAAAATAGACTGAACAATACGACTTACTTGACATGTGATATATGCGAGCGAGCGAGGAGTGACTTTCTCCAAATGGATGATCTGTGCTATGTGTTTTTTGACCTTGATTCCAGATAACGACTTCTTAGCCCGTCGGTTGTTGCTGATGACATCCGTGCCGTCGCCGTCGCCTTCGACGTCTTTTGCTGAGGAAGGAGACGTGAACACAGCCTTGTAGGCCTGAAACACTAGTCAGTTTGCTGTCAGGCTGCTCCAGTGCGACTAACCTGAATGAGAATCTTGCCCTTGAAAAGGCCCTCCTCAAGATCGTCGGGATTGGAAGTGTACTTATCATACAAGTAAGTGGGAAATGATAGATCTGTGACGATATACCCATCTGAGCGATTTCGGATTCCTGCCCTTACTCTGGTGAACTGTGAGCGTTGTCTCTCAGGATACCGAAGCCACTACTTACTCTGGGTTATTCCAGTCAAGCTCTGCCGGACAGAGTAACCTGCCACACACGTCATGGGTGAATCCACGGGAATGCTTATCGTCGTGGTCAACGGGGGAATCCGGTTTAAATTCACGATTGATCCATTCTGAAACGAGAGTCTTCAGTTTCGAGGTGTCATCTCCTCGAGCGCCATCAGCCCCCTGTCGAAGCTAGAGAAAGACTCAGCCGTGACACAACCATTAATATCATTAAACCAACCATCTTTAACATGTGCATGTACTCCTCGTACTCCATCTCTGAACCCTTCTTGTAGAACCACGGCAGCGTTTTGGCTAGGGTAGTATAACCTATTTGAAGTTGATCTTGTCTACGTAACCACGTTAATGAGTAATATACCCGATCCAAGAGCGAAATACTTACTCGATGGTAGTCTCCTGGTCTTCGATCTCATATCTTCTGTCGTTTTCGGCGACGAGGTCCTCGATACTATCAAAAAGGGCGACAACACGCCTGATTGCTCTTCCTTTAGCAACATACCAGATTGTTTGCCTAATAGATGGTGAGCAATGCAACTGAATACTACGTGCAATAGCAGCCACACCTTTGCTTGACTGCGCGGCCCGACTCCAGGGCCTCCAGCTTCTCCTCCAATTGAGCGATTTTCCGTCTCTGCAAAGCTTGTACATGTGCCGCTACTGCTTGAGATTGTTGCGGCTGAGTGTTGGGTTGGTCCTGCTGATTCTCAGCGTGCGATGTGCTGCCTTCGCCGTCGATGTACGACGTGTCGTCCTCGTCCTGCTGGCCCTCGACATGCGACATAACGGCAGGAACTCGAATAGGTTAGCGAACGACTGGAACAGTCCCTGAGGGATGAAGATAAAATGAGAGTGAGGAATAAAACTAACCCGAGCCCGCTCACATTTTATATGTTGGCCAAGACCGGTCCTAGTTGCCTAAAAAGAATACTGGGAACTAGTAAATCACGCTAGCACAAGCGATCAAGTCGCTTGAACAATTTGATACCTGTTTAGGAAATGGTTAACGTCGGCAAAATAAAGTTGGATGCAAAGTCACTAACGGCGTGGAAAATATGTACAGTGGGGCGTGACATGATATTGATTCCAGTAGCGTCATAATGTTAGTGGCGTCAAGCTTTGAGGCTTTGGTACTCGTCGGTACTTCGTTGTCTGCGAGGTTGAGGATACCTGCATACATCCTGGCAAGATACTTTTCCGTTTTCGTGGAGGGTGCTACAAAGGAAGCGCCGCGTGCTTCGCTAAGAAGCTCGTCAGCGCGGGCGATATGCTTCGCCAGCCCACCTTTCTGAAGGAGGATGAGGAGGCGAGACCGGGAGAGTTTCCCCAGGGTTGTCTTCTCCATCTGCTTCACAGGAATGGGAACGATCATTTGAGGTGGCTGGGTGATCATCTTGACGTAGATATCGCGTAAAGCACGGTGCGTGATGGGTGTGTCTGCTCCATCGAGGTCGAAAGATGGCGAGTAGAAAATGACGAACCCTTCGGTTTCCTGGCCGGGAATACGGTATGGAGTAGCAGCAAGGAAGGAGTGCGTGACGCCTTCCAAAGTCTGGAGATGGGTTTCAAGCTCAGGGATACTATATGTGACACCATGGATGATGACAGTGTCCTTGATGCGACCGATAAGGTGCATAGAGCCACCTTCGATGATGCCTACATCACCAGTGTGGTACCAGCCACCCTCGATAAAGCTGGAAGATGTAGCCTCAGGGTTTTTGTAGTAGCATACAAAAACCATCGGTCCGCGAACCTGAAGCTCGCCGCTCTCGCCATCTGCGCGCGGAGTAGTGCCATCGACAGGGTCAACGATGCGCATTTCGCAACCAATAACGGGACGTCCAAGGTCAAGGAACTCGCGAGCAGGTTTGGTTGTAAAAATATCGACTGGAACAAAAATGCAGCCACCACCGCAAGACTGGTCAGCTCAGATGTAACAATGTTGTATAAAGGTTCATACCAAGTTTCTGTCATTCCAAATCCAGCAGAGACTATGAAAGACACTGCGGAGGGGTTCTTGCTAAGCTTTTTCATGGTAGCAACGAAGGTTTGTGCGGTCTTCGAGACCACTGCTTCACCTCCGCTGGTGATCCGCTTGATGGAGGATAGGTCGAAAGATCCGAAAGATCAGTACGCTTTTCAAGATCGCGAGTGAGCTTGGCTAGCAGAAAGTTTGGTGCGAAACCTAGACCAATGGACTGAAAAAGAAGCATGATGAATCGATAAGTAAAAGCCACGGCTGAATTGAATTGAGACATACATTTTCGTCGATCAGACGAAGCATGCGAACGGAATCGGACAAAATAACAGATGCATGCACATGGACCTGCGAAGCACCATATAGGAGAGGTGTAACGTGCATTTCCACAGACCCTGCGACGTGATCAAATCCTACCCCTGACGGCCATAGTTAATTCTAGAAGCTCTAATGATGGTTGTCTTACAGTTCAAGACTTGAGACTCAGAAAGCGGGCCAAAGCGTAGCTCCTTGGCACGGCGAGCCCTGAACATGCGCCAAATAAAGTCGTCGGTGTTGGTCACTATGGGGCCTCACAGTCAATATATCAACATCTCACAGAAGGAGGGCGGGTATGCATGATCTCACTCAAATCAAGAATGAACTGAAAGAAATATAAAAGATCGTACCTATAACCGAGAATGTTGCGCCACTTTTAAGAACAGCCATGACAACTACGACCAACTCGACACTACGATGTGCGTAAATCTTCCCTCTTCACACCGCCTGCTAGGAGGTGGTAATGGTGCGCTAGGATGTTGGAGGCTCTCCGTAAGTGAATGTTCGCCTCGTCTGCGGCTCGCTAGGAATCGAGGCAGGTACACTTTGAATGATACACGACCTATCAGGCAATTCCTGCGCGTTGCGGGAAAACACACCTGTGATGGCTCCCTTCCAGTCACACCAATGTAAATTCGCTGTGGGGTTGAGCAAGCGTTCGCGTTGGGCAGCTGTCAAGAGAGGAACAGAACCAACCGCTGCAGTCAGATTGGTAGATACCTTCCTCAA